CAACATATGCGACGCAGATGAAGAAGAAGAAGAGTGTAAACAATTTGTGTTTGCATTAAATGGCGAACAGCTGCGCAAATAACTGCAATTTACATTTACCGCATCCGTCGCATATTTTGCGCACTAAATAAACACATAAAAATGCAAAGGAATAACCGCAAGTGCAAACACAAACACACGCACACACACACACCTACACACACTCATACACCTACGCACTCATTTATGGGAGCTTCAACAACAAAAGCATTACGCAAATTTTATGAATTCGTTATTGAATTACATTGATTAAAAGATATATACACCAATGCACACACAGGCGCACCTACATATGTATATGTGTTTATAATAGATCTCTTTTTTCGCTCAGTGTAGCTTTTTTTCGCAAATGTTAAATGTCAACTGCTCTTTGATTCGGCTGCAAAACTGTTTGCTCACTTTTCATGGTCACTGTTTTCTTTTTTTTCCATTTTGAGCCAACAAATTTGTAGCTGTGTGAGTGTAGTGTGTGTGTAAGTGTGTGTGTGTTTGCAACACTATTTCTATTTGTATAGCCAACCAGGCAGCTGGCGTGCTTTGGCCGCCTTTGCCTTTACCTTTCGCAATTTCCACACATTTTCAAACAAGTCGCTGGACACACACACACACACACTCACACACACACACTCGCGCACAGCCGCATACGCACACTCGCAGTTTCGCCATTTTGACTTATTCAACATGCATCAATGTCAACAGCAAATGAAAATGTGCAACTGCAAATAGAAACTTTGATGGCAACCAGAAACATTTCCTGTTTACCTGCAGTTGCTGCAAATTAACGAACGTTGCAACAGTCTCTCTCTCTTTCTCCCTCTCCCTCTCTCGCTCTTTTTACCTGGTTATATAAATAAGACTATATGTGTATTATATATATGGTATATAGTCTTGTATATAGTCCTATATAACATCTATGCCGAGTCTCTCTCTATAGCGAGTCTCTGTCTCAGCAACTTTAAGCAAATATGAAATTTCAGATAACTAGTTAGTCAAAGCTAATTAATATGTCAATATACAATTTAGTCTTAACTATTTTCAGCTGAGTTGCAAAATTTGTAAAGCATTTGCATAGAGCTGGGATGCCTCAGTTGACTCAGGCTTAGCTTTAAGCTCAAATTAAAATTATATTATGTATTAAATATATATATAAATACAATAATGATATTAGGTATTTAATATAAGTATAGATATTATATTAATATTATGTATGGATTAATATTATGTATGAAATGTCCATATAAATATAATAATAATATTAGGTAGTTAATATAAATAGAAATATTGTATTCATATTATGTTTGTTTGCTTTCAACTTCACATAGAAGTTCAACTATATTTTATAATATAGAAAAAAATATTTTTTTTTCTACAATAAAATATATTTATTTGTGCCTCCAGAAATGGGCAAATTTGTGATCCTAACAAATGGAATTGATGATTTATTATGCCCGTCAGGTGTGCTGCCTCAGTCTCAATTTTGATGCTGGTTTTCGATTCCCTTTGAGTTTTTTAAGTAATTTTTCAATTACGAAAGACTTAAGCTGCAAAGTAATTTCTATTTGCCTTTTATTTCGCAACGACAAGTAGCTTTTAGCAAAATGAAATGCGCACACACACACACACACCCACACACAAACACAGTTACAGATAGAGAGAGCGTAAGAGCTATGATAGATGGCCAGATGTGAGTGTAGTTGGCAATAATAAGGGCAGCGGTTGGGCGGGGCGTGGCAGCGGGAGCGCAACAATTTGCAACGGTAAATTGCATTTGGAAAGCATTTCATTTGGAAATTACAAAGCAAAGCAAAGCAAAGCGAAACATAGACAATTGCGCTGTCGAAGACAAAATTGTGGAGGCAAAGCGCGGAATCGAAATGAAAATGAATGAAAATGCGAGAAAATGGAAAATTATAAAAAAAACTGATGAAATACGTTTAGGCATTGAGAGCTTTACCTCGCTTTACCTCTATCTCTCTCTTTCTCTCTGTGTGTGTGTGTGTGTGTAACTGAAGTGGTTTGCACTGCCAGCTGAATGAATAAGTCTATCTGCGGCTACAACGAGCACACACACGCACGCACATATAACGGACAGAAACAATTTCATGTGTCAACTGCAGCCTCAACGACATCAACTGAAACTCGACCCTGAACAGCCAAACAACAATGCCATAAAAAATAACATGTTTCTAGTACAAATAGATACAAACATTTATGCATATGCATACACATATATATGTTTTTCAATGTCCTAACATAATCCCCTCAAAGCGCAGCGTTAAAAAACATCAGGTAAACAAGACCAGCTTAAAAGTATGCTATAGAAAATGCAACTGCAGCCGCTCTCTGCATTTCTTTTAGCCACAATAATAATAGTTCAACAATGTTTTTCTTGCCCATACGCCAATCCGATTAGAGACCCAGTAGCATATACATATAATATAGATATTGCAGTTTATTTTTATATTATGAAAAATATGTGTATTAATATATAAAATGTATTTGTAGTGTCCAGTGAGCCGTCCTGGTTGCTTGAGTAGGAGGCTGAAAAGCTCTTTTTGTGCTGAGCTTCGTTTGTTGATTTCTTTTATGAAAAATATTAAATATTTGCGGCTGTATTTGATATTAAATTTGTTCTAGGAAATATACTTAAAATAAACAATAGAATATACATATACAAGGATGTCTTGGCTTAAAATGTTAATCCAAATACATTTGACTTTCATTTAATTATTATATTATTTTATTTTGTTTTATTTTTTGTTGCTTGCGTCTTTTTCTTTCTATTTATCGAACAACAATTTTGTTTTTGCTTTTATTAATTTATTTATTTTATTTTATTTTATTTATTTATTTATTTTTTTTTTTTTATTTTTTTATTATTATTATTTATTTTATTTTATTTTTGTTGTTGTCTTAGTTTAACTTTACAAAAGTACTCAATTTCTAAAAAAAAAATTCCACTACAGTATAATCTAGCTATGACTATTCCGCTTCTAACATTCGTTCGGTTATTGCGATGAAAATTCAATTTTTCGGTTGGTGCTCTAATAAATCTATATGAAAAGGCCTCCGCTTTTAAGGAAAAGCCGCTTATACCGAAAATATTTCTCACGTTTCAACCAAACGACGTGTCGAAAAAAAGCATCAAACAATATTGTCAAAGATTTATATATTGTGTACAACGTGTGTATGCTCGTATAGCTTAGGTTTGATACAAAAATTAATTTGGTTTATATTAGCCAAAAAAAAAAAAAAAAAAAAAAAAATGTTTTTTTGCTCTCATAATTAATAATTCAAATATAAATAGAGAGTATATATATATATTATAGTATTAATTATATTTTCTAGTATTTTATGTATTTTTGTAAATATTACAATATTTTTCCAATTACATATTATTCATAATTATTTAATTATTTATGTATTCCGTTAAGTTTTTTAGGGCATGTTCTCCCATGAAATGCCCATTTTTTTTAGAGGCTTAAAGCGCGGGTATACAGCAACAACAACAGCAGCAACAACAACAACTGGTGCATTTTTCAAGGCAGCGGCTGCATTTAGAAGTGCCTGCCAGCTCGTTAGTTTGTCAGCGCACATGAATGCGTCTATAGCTCTATGTGTGTGCATGCGTGCCTGTGTGTGTGTGTGTGTCTGTTATTTCTTGCCAACACTCACTTTTCATATGCACATACCTATACATACCAACATATATATATATATATATGTGCAGCATGAATTGAAAATGAAATTTTGTGTCAGTGTTGCGGAAAGTACGAGTTTACAGTTAGTACACAGCCAGTGTGTGTCAGTGTGTGTGTGAGTGGAAAGTTGGCGAGCCAGACAACAAACAACGCGCACACACACACTCACTCACACTCACACACACTCGCATATACACATGAGCATATGCAGATGTTTTGGGCTTCGAGCTTGGGGCTACAAGTGTTTAGCTGCCATTTGGCTGGACCAAAAACCCCCCAACAACAAAAAAAAAAGAGCACTTGAATGGGTGGCAGCACTGGGTGGCTGACCGGATGGCTGCGACCTTGCCTTGCACAAGAAATGAGCAAACAGCCTGCTGAACCCTAAAGGCTTCAGCAATAACAACAGTAACTTTTTTTTTTATTTTTTTGAGGTCGTTAAGTCAGTGAAAACAACAACAACAAAATGGTACACTTCAAGCGCAATTAGCTCGCGCGCATAGATTGACACAGTCATTAAATCAAAGAAAAAAAATTAAATGAGACCGTAGGCGACTGCCTAATGCTCGCTCAAGCTACAAAAAAAAACCTAAAAATAAAAATAAAGGGATTTATTTGTATTAAAGAGATTAAAGCTAGACAAGCTGAGCTGCAAAAGTCGTATATTGCAGAACCACGACAGATATAGTTTTTAATTGACTTGCCACGCCTACCAATAGGCGTAGGACGTAAACTGCATAAGAGCAGGGCATACAGAGTCCATATATAACTCTCAAATTTCAAGTAGTTGAAGCTGGCATAGAACCAGCTGAATGGATATGAGCAGGAATTCAGTTCTTCTCTTCCTACATCCGCGAATCAGCAAGACATACTGCACGCATATATGCTCTCTTTTTCCACATGCTGAGCGGGCAACAACAAAGACGGACGCGCCGACCACAGGAAAGAAGGCGTGGCCTGACAATAAGAACTTTGCTGCTGCGAAAATTGAAAATTCCGCGCGCGCAAATTTAAAGAATTTCAATTGTGAAACAAACGAACGACGAAACGCCCAAACGGAAATTAGCGCACAAATTCAAAGCGACAAAAGCAATTAGAGGGAGCGAGAGAGGTGGAGCCCAGCCTGCGGAAGGGTGCGGAGGCTGCTGAGCCGAATGGCCGGGGGGCGACAAATTAAATTTAATACGAAATTAAATGAGAATAAATTGGATTATTTAATTAAATGCAGACCAAGAGCAAAGGGGTCGAGCGAGCACTTACCTTGCAGCTGGGCCAGCAGCGGCAGCAGCAGCAGCAGCGGCCAACAGTTGAATAATCCGAAATTGGCCAACATTGTGCTTGGCCTTGTTAACCGCATAGCTCTAATTACAATATATATACGTATATGTATATGTATGTGTATATATATTGCTGTTATTTTATTGTTAGCTTTGGCTCTGATCTTGTGGGGGGCGTCTCGGCTCTAAGCGCTCGCCTGGGAGCTATTACAAAATCCAGCGCTATCTCTTTGACAATTGTATCTGTGTGGGGGCTGCTGCCACTTTGCTCGCTTTCGCGCACTGCACAATAAAACTTTTTGGTTTTAGCCAAATTGTTGTAAATTCAATTTGCTTGTTTTGCTTTTAATGTAATTTTTGTTTTCGTTGCTGTTTGTCGTTGGCTTTGGCGTCGCAACAACAGCCGCATAAATCATACGCCATGTGCGTTGCTTACCAACACTTAGAAGCGTACACACACGCACACACCTACACACCCCCACTCACTCACTCATCCACTCACACACTGACGCGTTGACAATTGTTTGTGTTTCTACTTTTTATTTGTTGTAACTTGGTTTTGGTTTCTAGATAACAAGCGTAGGCGCCAAGTAATTTATCTTGTTGCTGGCGGCTTAGCGCTTTCACTTGACTTGGCTAACAGGAGTGTTTGAATTTCCGTTGTTGCTGTTGTTGTTTGTTAACTTGATTCACTGATGCAGTTGCACTTTCCAGTTAGAGTTGTGTGTGTGCTTATTGCATTTGCATCACATGTCATCCACTTGTCAACACTGTTCGCAGTTAATGCTGCATCGCGCACTTCGCAACACTTGCGTGGAATCGCCTTGCTCAACTCGCACACGTACACGTTTCACGCTTCACACATACACACGGACACACACAGCGTGGGAGACGAACAAAAAAGCAACGCGTGCTTCGCACTCGACTAACAGGATTTAACTGACTGCTGACTGCGCTGCTGGCGTCGGCTAGCTCGCCAATCGTGGCGCTGCACACGAAGCACTGAACGGCACGACGAAGCTGCGACAGCGCTTCGGCTATGCTAGCCAAAACGGAACGAGCCGAACGCAAGAGAGAGTTCACAAAGTTTCTCTTTAGCCGCATACAGTTATTGCTGTTGTTGTTGTTGCTGCTGTGGCTGTTGCTGTTGCTGTAGCTGGCAAAAATTATTGGTGCACGAAATTTGTAGCCGATGCAAAGTTTCGAGTAGCACTCTCTTGGCTAGAGTGCCTTGTACTTGTACTTGTGCTCTTACATTTTTTTTGCTGTAGTTATTTGCAGCTGTAGTTGCTGTTGTTCCTGTTGTTGTTGTTGCTCTGGCTTTGTTTGACTTTGCTGCAGTAGCTGCTAGCAGTAGCTGCTGTTGTTGCTGTTGTATCTTTGCTGTTTGACCTGTAATTGCAATTATAAATAATTTATTAACATTTATTTAAAGCCAGCTTCTAGGAAGTGTAGAAGGCAAAGCACTTAAGCGCTATTGACGCAAGTAAACGGAAAGCAAGAAACGGTACAAATCGAGCAGCTTAGAGCTATTAAACAATGCATTAGACGCTGTTAAGCCTATTAACAGTGTTGCTAAACTGATTATTTTTGACACCATGTTAACAGAAATAACAAAGCTGAATGAAAGATGCTTAAGTAATGAGCAAAATTTAATATAAAATTTAAATAACAAATTTTTAAAAATCAAATTCCATTTCTATAATTTTATTTTAAAACAATAAACAATAATTGTAGACTTGTGCATATAATATATATGTATTGTTTTTTACTTATATTAAATTGATATTTTTTTAAATATCAATAAATCTCATATTGAGCTAGCACAAATTGTGATTCCCTAGGAAGACGCTTTAAAATGTTAAATAAGCAACTAAGCGCTGTCCTAGGTCAGTTAGCAACGTATAAGAGTGAGAGAGCAACAGCTCTTAGCCGTATAAGACAAATCTGCTGCCATGACTCTTATACACCTAAAGCAAAAGGCAGGCCAAAGAGAAAATAGCCCAAAGCCACAACAAGAGAAACTCTTTAAGCAAATCAAATGCAAATGCAAATGCAAATGCAAAAAAAAAAAAAAAAAAAAAAACAACAACAAATGCAGTTATATTAATGCTTTTCATTAATTCAAAAACAGTTACAATTATTTATTATTTTATTTCGAATTTTTATTTTAATTTTAATGATTTTGTACTTGCAAAGAGAGAGTTTTCAATCAATTTACGAAAAACTTTTTAATTACATTTGACCAAAAAAAAAAAAAGAAAAGAAAAACAAACAGATAAACCAAATGCACAGCTGGTAGAGTGGACCACACACACACATACACAAATACAGTCATATGTATGTGCTTGAATCAATTAAATTAATTAGCGCCATGAAATATTTGAACGATGCTACGATAAGGCTGCAACTTTTTTTAGTTCATTCTCCATATACTTTTTCTGTTCTCTTTTTTTTTTTTTACAATATTTAATTAATTTGCCCAAACAATTTCAATTCTCAATTAGCTGGCGATAATTGGATCCGTGTGTGTGTGTGTATGTGATTGTGCTGTGTCTTATGCAATTGTATTGATATACCCTGTATTTATTTGGAATGGGGGCTGCAGAAGCAAGGCCTGTGAGTAGCTGAAAACTTTGTCAAGGAAATTCAAGAAAACTAATATTAATTATTGTATTTATATTTGAAATATTCTCCAATATGAGTAATAAAAGAGACATAAATGGGAATAAAAAGTTTGTACAGATCCTGTGTAGAGAATATTTGATATAGATCACACAATAATTCACTTATCAAGCAACATATGAAGCTATAAATTAAGTTGAATATGAAGTTAAATCATAATTTATGTCTTACTCATTTGCCTCAACTCGCCACAACACAGAATATGTATCCGTCTCTCAAACTCTCTCTCTCTCTCTCTTTTCTCTCGCTGTCTCAGCCATACTCTGATTCATTTCCAACTTTTTGCTAAGCTGGCCAAGGCCAACAGCTAAATCGCAACCAAGGCCGCAGGGAAAATGTAACAAGTTTTGACTGGCGAGAAGCGAGAAGCGAACTCCTGCTGACTAGTGTACACTTATTATGGCCGCAATTAGCGCCCAATTCTCGTCGTCGTTGGGGCACGTGTCAATCGTATGCCAAAGCGTTTTGCCCAAAGCCGCTTAAATACAGCCGCACTCTGCCGCACGAACAGTTCCTGCTCCTGCTTCTGCTTCTGCTCCTGCTCCTGCTCCTGCTCCTGCTCCTGCTCTCATTGCCGATATTACATTCACCAAGTAAAGCAAAGCGGAGGCAAGTAAACTTTTTAATTGAAACAATTTGTAAAAAAGCAACCAAAAGACACCGACAACAACAACAACAACAACAACAACGAGAGTGGAAACAACCTTAAGCAGAGCAGACAGCGTAACAAAGTTTGAGCTGCTTTTAATCATGGCCAGCGGCTAGAAAACTGCCTAAGAATAAGCTACGTCTGATCTACACTGAACGAAAACATGGCACTAGCCCGCGAGCTATCATATAGCAACAAAAGGCGAGCAGAGAGAGAGATACCTAAGATATATGTATATACATACATATCTGTATGTGGGAGTATATATAAACAAGTCTGGGCTGAAAATTTGATTAGTTGAAATTTCAAATTTCTTTTAAATTGTTTTCTTGTTTATCTATGAAATGACAAACAAAAGAATAAAATGTTTGTCAAGAAGGAAATTGCTCAAACTAAGCCTGAAATATTAGATTAATGATAATTAACGTATTTTTGTAATTATGTTATTTTCTAATGAAGAAGTTTTATTTATTTTATATCTATTTTTAGGAACTTTTATTATTTTGGTATTATTATTATTATTTAATTTTGGTATTATTATTATTTTTTAACTTTATATTCTGTTTTAAATAATTTGTTTATTAATTATTTATTTTATATATATTTTTAGTACCTTATTATATTTATTTTAAAAATTTTGGTATATTATTATTACTTAGCTTTATATTATACAAACAATAGGCTGCAATATTTTGAATAATTTGCTTCTTAATTTACTGTAAATATTTAATGAATTATTTTTAGTTCTGAAAAATAAATTTTTTCTTATTTTGATAAGAAAGTAACTCAAATATAATTTCCATATATTTTTTAAATATATTTTTTAATATTATGCTAAACTATAGTTAATCCAACAAATTCACTTTGAATCTTAACTGGGACAAATATATAAAAATAAAATAAAATCAATAAATCTGATTAAATAATAAATCTTTCGGGTCTATCATTCACATATTATAAGAAACTGATATATCTTTTCTCTAAATGAATTGTTTAAAATTTCCATGCAAATGCTAGCTGTCTTCTGCCTATTTAAGGAACCTCTACATAGTTTTTCTCAGTGCATTTCGTTCCCGTCTTCAGTCTGTTTGTTTTTTTGGTCGGTTTGCGTGATTCCTTTATTGAATTACTCGGCTGCTTTAACACGATATCGATGGCGTGTACCGTTAACATATTGATACAACACGCAGACACACATACATTTTAATTTATATATGTGTATATCCATACGTATATATCAAATCTATATAATATGTAGAGACAAGCAAGTCGCATAAATTTGCGGTATTTGGCAAATCATTATTCGAATCAGCGTCGCACGCGCCGCGCCGCACAATTGGATTTGGCTCCGGCATGGCTTGACGTCGGGCGCAAAACAAATCAAAAATCTATTAAGTGCCCCCTTAACACCCCTCAACACTTGCCACTTCTTCACACTTTGCTCGGCATTCCCGTTCTCTTTATGACGCACCCCTCCTCAAACACTCCGGCGGATTTCTTGTGGTCACGTGTCACACGAATTGCACTGATATCGCGCTGCCTTGTTGACACTGTCCACAGCATTGAGCAGGAGTAAGAGGGCGAGCGAGAGAGAGAGAGAGCGAAAGTGAGGGTTGCCCCGGCTAAGGGTTGCTTTGGGGCTTGCCCCCGCGATGGCTTCATTAGAGTGCAGCGAAACCATCCCCCAGCCGCCTACGCCGCAAATCGTCAGTCGAAAGCGAAAGTGATGACCCTTATGCCTATGTAGGGCTTTAGAGGGTTGCTTGAGCACGCCTTGAATACCCTGTAGAGCGCCAAGGTTAAGTAGATTTCTGTTTTAGCTAATGCCACTGAGAGTGAAAGTCTTGTGATACAGATTTTTTGGCTGATGCTTGATCTAGTCTTATTCATTATTACTCACGTATTGGGCTTTCTCTTTAATCTTCACTTACCTCTTTAATTTGATGGCATAGAAAACTCTCCTCAATGCTCCGAATACTGAAATGATATATGGTTAGACTGCGAGACCTTATATGCAAAGTTTATATTGGCTAAATTATCTCTAATAGGGTGATCGATATTAGTATTCTTATCGATATTTATGTATTATCTCTTAGAGACATAATAAATGATATGAACTTTTGGTAAAACAGCAGAAATATTTAGAATCAATTCAATAGTGCATAATACGCTTAAAGAGTTCTACTACATATAACTCTTTAAGCGTATTATGCACTATTGAATTGATTCTAAATATTTGTGCTGCTTTACCAAAAGTTCATATCATTTATTATATCTCTAAGATTAGATTTTGAATAAATGATTGAATATACCAAGTCATTTTTGATAATTTCCGATAAATATCGATTGCTACGAAAACGTTTCACAAATACCTCATCCATCTTCTGATACAAAGATGGAAAATACACCATTTGAGCTATCTTGAACCGAGCTGAATTGAGAATCAACATCTTACTAAAACACTCCTCGAACTCTTATATCTCCACAGATTTCTCTGACTGCTTAGAGACCTGCAGCTGGCAATTGAAATATGCGAGGCCGATTAGAGTACACGGAACACAACAGCTGTGTAAGTACTCAAAGTAATTTTTATTGGATGTTGGCCATTTACAGGATAACTCCCAGTTGGGCACATTCTATTAGTCGTTATTCTTATTTATTTATTTATTTTTATACCCTGAACCCATTGAAAATGGGAAATCAGGGTATAATGGTTTTGTGAAAAGTATGTAACAGGCAGAAGGAATCATCGCAGACCCCATAAAGTATATATATTCTTGATCAGGACGACGAGCTGAGTCGATATAGCCCTGTCCGTCTGTCCGTCCGTCCGTCCCTCCGTCCGTCCGTCCGTATGAGCAAAAGGATCTCAGAAGATATAAGAGCTAGAGAGCTGAAATTTGGCATGCATACTCGTGTATACCATAGGCAGTACGAGTTTGCTTTATTTTTTCGATAACTCATCCGATAACATTTTTATCGAGAATAATCGAAAAATCGACTTGGTTTTTTCAGCCTAGTTTGAACACTTTTAAACCTGGAGACTTCAACTTTGCGCTGTATATAGAGTTATTGAACACAAAGATTTTGTAATTTACAGATTTTGGATACCACGCCCCCTTCGCCCCCAATTTGTAAAAAACGCATTTCAAATACTAGAGACTTATGCTTTGGAATGTACACACATTTTAACCATATGATTACGCTCTGAAAGTTTCATTAAGATTGTATGTCTACAAAAGAAATTATTCAACAAATAAATTGTCATAATATTGCCCACATTGCAGCGCAGCCCAAGCGCAGCCGCTGCTTAAAGCGCAGTTAGCAGAGCGCGTGCTTATAAGTGCAAGTGTATGTATGTGTACATAGAAGAAGTGCAGAATGATTAGAATATCAGCTTGGAGGGTTCAGGGTATCTCCTAGTCGAGCAGTCTCGACTGGAGCCTTCTTACTTGTTTTTCTTTTTGTTTTTGACATTCGCAAGTGGCATTAATTGAAATGCCAAACAGGGGCTGTTAACCCCCTTAAGTTCCCGCTCCCAACAACAACAACAACAACAACAACAGCTCGTTGAGGGGGCAACGATGCATGAGATATGTGAGAATGAAAGTAAGGGGAAAAAAAAAGAAATCATTTTGGACTTGGCGACTTGGCAGATGATTCGCGTAGCACCAACAGCAGCTACATGCCTCCTGCCAGTGCCTGCCTGCCAATGCCTGCCCACCTGCTCGCACCTGGCACAGCGGCGCGACCCTTGCAGCAAAAGCCACAAAACAAAGGGAAAAGCAAAGCAAAAGAAATGAGCGGCAAATGCAATAAAAACCAAAACCCGCATAATTTAACACAAGTGCTACAAGAGTGTGTGCGTGTGTGTGTGTGTGTATGTGTGTGTGTGCACACGCTTCTCTCAATTATTTGTTTGTCCTGGGATTTGCAGCACACGGAGGAGTTCAGCTGCTGCCTCAATGCCGTTGCAAGTGCGTGTGGCGTGTTGTGTGGGAGGCGGCGGCACACGCCTCTTTTTATTGTGCCAAGTGGCAACAGGCAACAACAACAACAACAACAGCAACAACAACTGGCATTAACATTTAAAACAATTTTCAATGCTGTAAAAATAACTGTAAAAATTTTCAGTACCACAAACAAAACGACAAAAGGCGCAAACAACAACATTGCCAGTGTGTGTGTGTGTGTGTGTGTGTGTGTGTGTGTGTGTGTGTGACACTACAACACGCCTGCATACTTAATACAAACAGAAACATTTGCTCAACAGCCACGCCCCCTGCTGCCCTTTTGGCCTTTTGCTCCGCCTCGCCCCGTCCCGCCACGCCTCGCCTCCTCTTAACTTGCTTTCAACTAAAGCCACAGAAAACAGTTTTTCTTATCGCTCAAATGTCATCGGCTGTCGACAATTTTTGGGCTTTGCCACTTGCCACAAATTTCGGCGACCTCTACCGCCCACGGCCCGCCTCGCCCCGTCCCGTCCGCCGTCCCTCTCTGGCCCACTCGCATAGACGCTCATTTGTGTAATCCGGGCCATGCCCAGAGGGCGGCACTTGCGGCATTTAGTTTGTAATTTAGCGCATTTAGTGCCACATTTGCAGGGAGTAAAAGCGAGCGAGACAGTCAGACAGAGAGAGAGAGTGGGAGAGAGGGAAGAGAATGTGTGCTGTCACCAGAATTCAAAGTGTTGCTCCTTCGACTCCAAATGTCGGTATTGCAGCTTTGGCTGTGATTCTACAAATGTTCTTTTCCTCTGCTTCCAGCACATGAATATGCTATGAGAAATGCTTAGCAGCTAATTTGTATGCATGTGAGGGTGTGCATAAGGAAGAGAGAGACAGAGAGAGAAAGAGAGTCAGTGTGTGTGGTTGTGTTTAAGTATGTGTGCTCGTAGTGCTCAAAGTTTTGCTTAGCTTTAATTGCTTTTTGATTTGATTCGCAGATTTAAAGCATTTGGCGTGTTTAGCTATTTTTCGTTCTATTCGGATTAGGATGAACCATTTAAGATACTGAGCATAACCACAGAAAGTTCTATCTCTATCCAACTTGTAATCTTGCCATTTATACTTAGTTTGATAGCTGAAATCATGAAAATATTCTATTCTCACTTTATGCTATTTGTATTATCCCTCCCACTTTATCACTTAATCGAACTCCCTTCCTATCTGTCAATTTCTAGCTATTTATCTATGCCTTATGTTATTATACAGTTCTCTATATAATGGCCTACTCATTCGCTCCATAGGGAGGAAGACCATGAGTCAATTCTCTGTCTCAGCCTTTGGCTCACTCTACCTGTCTCTTTCTCTCCTGTCTCTTTATATGCTGTTTCTTTCTGTCCCTCTCTTTTCTTCTTTCTCCCTCTCTCTCTCTTTCTCCCTCTCTCTCTCTCTTTCTCTCTCTCTCTCTTTCGTTCTCTCTTTCTTTCTCTCTCTCCATACTGTCTCTCTCTCTCTCTCCTTCTATCCCATTTTCTTCTTTATCTATCCCTTTCTGTCTGTCTCTTCCTCCCTTCCCCTCTCTCTCCTACTATCTTTATATATCCCACCTTCTCTCTGTCTCCCCTCCCTTCCCCCTCTCTCTCATTCCCTCTCTTTCTCTCTTTGTCTTTTTCTCTCTTTGAACAAATTTCTGTTTCTAAACAAGTCAAATTCATAATCTTCAGTTTTATCTATGATATGATCTTTCTTTCACGCTCAGAATCTCCCACTCCCGCTCTCTCTCTCCCTCCCTCATTCTATTCAACTCCATATCAATTTGTGGAGTCCAACAATTAAATCATTTCATGCCCATGCCTAATGCCAATTCGCTTTTAACGCATTAGCATAAATATTTGATATCAGCTAATGCAATGGCCATTTGGGCAAGGCCCTGCCAGCGATAAACAGGAATACGAGCCACTGGAAACCACCACTGAAGCCACCTGCATGTGTCCGGATAGGAAACGAAAACTCCAACTGAAATATGCTTAATAGTTATTATAATGCTGGGATAGGGCAAGTCTTAAAGGTCTTGCGGCCACATAAATTTCTCATCAAAATCAATAGGAAATCTGAAGGGGGAGCAGCGGAGGGCCACGAATGGCATGCCGCAGGATGCGGCCAGGATATGCGTACATGTGTGTGTAGGCATACGTGTGGCTGTCCAGGAACTGCGTTGACATTGGCCAGTGTTAAAGTTAATAAATTGTGGCCAGGATTTATGGGCGCGGCCGTTGAACTGTGCCGGCAATGACATTTCAATGTTTACATAAGCCGTGTGTTTATTTCCCATTCCCTCTCTGCTTCACTTACTCACTCCCACTCTCTGTGTCTCCACCCCTCTCTTCGTCTCTCTCTTTCTCTCGGTGTGTCTCGTAGTCTCTCTATGGAATAGGCAAGGGGTATCTGCGTGGCTGTTTGCATTAATTTCAATTTATGCGTGTCTGTGTGCGTGTGAGTCTGTGTGTGCCTCTGTGTGTGTGTGTGTGTGTGTGTGTGTGTGTGTGTGTGTGTGTGTGTGTGTGTGTCTAGGCATGACATTGCAAATGGTGACATATGCATTGGCTAAAACCTTTTACATTTGCCACCCAACAAACACACGCACACGCACACACACCCACTGCCCCTCTGAAAAACCCCACCCCCTTTTGGCCTCGTTTTGATGAAATCAGCCAAGCGAGAAATTCAATCAAGCTTCGACTAAGCATACTGAGCGAAAAGACAACGTTCCAAGCTCGAGTTTGTCTTGGCAAAGTTTCATTGCGACTTGATTTACTGATTTTGTGGCGAATATTTTTGTTCCTCTTCTTCTAGCTATGCTATGTTAATATCACCCACATATCAATAACTTTTCTATATCAACTTTTCTCTAATAACTTTCTGGCATAGCGCTTATTTAATTTTCTCTAAGTGCATCGATTCGATTTTGGGAATTTAGACCAAATCTTCCTCCTTATATTATTTATTTATTAGTTTATATATATTTTAATCACTACTTTACTTTCTGGGTATTTTCTAACAGTGTATCGGTGAGCTTTAATTCTTTAAATTTAATTTTACGGTGCATTTTTTAGTTTCCGCTATTAAAGATTTTATTTTTAATCCTCTGAAAATAACTTAGGACCTGTTTTTTCCCAGTGTACATGGTAACATTAATAGAATTTAAGCACTTACTACACAGACTCTGTTTTTCTTATTTATTTTAGCATTCACAAACTTAGCTAACTGTCAGAATTTCTACAAATTTTCTCTCAGTGCAGTATTTATATATATTTATATCAGTTGGCATCAGCTTAAATATCTAAAAGCTAGCCGTCCTAGCGTCATGTTAGTATACATACATTTCTCATTTCAACTTGACTCCTTTAAATTTTCGCTCAGTGTATCCACCGGCTTCCTAATAGCTTTTAGGTCCAACTACCCCCACTACACTTGTCCCTTTATTATTCTTGCATAAGAACCCGCTCCCACACACCTTCAGTTGCCACGTCATGACCCCTGCCACGCCCACTTGTGGTATCAATTATACTTTAATAGACCTAAGCACTAAATTACTTAATAAACACACATAGATTAGAATTTATGCATTCGGATTAGCTGTAGACGCTTCCCCTAGCGTTGATTCTGATTCTGTGCCTTCGGCTGGTTTGCTCTCGTCCTGCTGCTCCGGTGTCAGCTCAGCGCTTCGTCGATGCCGAAATATGGATCGTCCCTTATTGACCACAATGCATGTGATTCCGGGAGTGCCAGCGATAGGGTCCGCATAGTCTGAATAGTAATCCTCGGTGGCCTGGCGACCAAGCCCCGAGTAATCGTCGTCATCTTCATAGTCATACAAATCGCGATCATCGATAAAGTCCTCGTACTGATCGTTGGCACGTCCCTGCAGCAGATCCCCACTCAAGCTTCGACTTTGGAAGCAAACCTCCTGAGTCGATCCACCAACGCCGCCGCTGCTGCCGCCCTCGGTCGACGTCGAGTTCAGCGAGTTGATTAGGTTGGATACGTAGGCCGCTGTCTCATTCGAGGTAAGCAGATCGAAGATCAGGGCGCCGCCCAGACCGTTTGCCACGCCCAGCGCAAAGCCGCCCAGGCCTGCTATGGCTGAGGGCGTGGCACGGCCAATGGGCGTCAGCTGCCCCTCATCGACGCCCGCCTCGACGAGAGCGGAGCGCAGCTCCTGCGGCGTCAAAGGACGAAGGGTGAGGCGACCAGCTGAGGAGAGGGGAAAGAGAATTATTAGAACTTTAATCAAGCTGTAGCCCGCGTCAAAGATAAATAAAGTCAAGTCAATTCGGTATAAGAATCCAAGCTAGCCAAATAATCGTCTGCTTGAAGGTCAACTTGAAAGTCAATTGAACTCCGATATAAAATTCGTCTTTAAAGTCCGTGCAAAGGGCGAGCTAGAAGCAACATAGAGTCTACTCACCTGCGACTGTTGTCAGCAGACAGCTGAGGCCAATCAGGGCAACGGCCCACAGAGCATTTGGGGTTTTCATGGCTAACGACTAATGCCTTCTTGACCGCAAACCGCGCGCGTCTTAACTGAAACCAATCGCCGGCTGGCGCTCAACTTTTATGTCGAAGAACCCAAAAGAAAGTTGACATCAGCCAACGCCAGCGCGTTTTGCATATGCAAAACCCGAATAACAAAGTTGAATGCGCGCTTGACCCTTGACTGAGAGGCGACTGGAAATAGGCCAACGGCCTAAGGCCAATCTGCAACCGGTTTTAGCCAAACAATAGATTTCTTTCGGCTGCGTTCTTCATAGACATAACTAAATAATACAAAGGTGTAATCAGGTGGATCTCATTTATATCCATATTGAGCTGTATTTACCGAAACTTCTATCTGAAATCTGAATATCGATTTGTATCTGTATCTGTATCTGCATCTGTATCTGTATCTGTATCTGTATCTGTATCTGTATCTGTATCTGTATCTGTATCTGTATCTGTATCTGTATCTGTATCTGTATCTGTATCTGTATCTGTATCTGTATCTGTATCTGTATCTGTATCTGTATCTGTATCTGTATCTGTATCTGTATCTGTATCTGTATCTGTATCTGTATCTGTATCTGTATCTGTATCTGTATCTGTATCTGTATCTGTATCTGTATCTGTATCTGTATCTGTATCTGTATCTGTATCTGTATCTGTATCTGTATCTGTATCTGTCTCTGTATCTGTATCTGTATCTGTATCTGTATCTGTATCTGTATCTGTATCTGTATCTGTATCTGTATCTGTATCTGTATCTGTATCTGCATGTGTATCTGTATCTGTATCTATCTTTCTCCCCCTATTTCATATTTCTATCCATATCTCTACCCACATCTGCATATATAACAAACTAGCTAGCTGGATCGGCTTAATTAGAATCGTAGATAGTTTCACTTTCGAATCTAGCTACTGTTATAACATCTTTCACAACTCTATAATAATACAACAACAATAAAATTTGTTGGTCTCTTGAGCTTAGTAACTCGTAGATCTTTTCAGTAGTTTTTTGCCACAGACTTGATTACAAAATATTGGCTGTTGAAGTTTAGGGTAATTCACATTTATCTCTCGCTGTTATTGACAAGTTCGACCTGCGGCATTTTCAGAAGCAGCAGCCGGCCTTTAAAAGATCTAACATACGACTTCTATATTCATGCCAATTAGATTCACAGAACTCATTAGCATGCCTATTAATCATAATGGAGAGGTTATCTTTCTTGTTTACAAATAACTGAATTCCCTCTTTGGATAGCATTTCTTGCAACTTTCACGATGGACTTAACTGAAACCAAAGTGGGAAGTTCTCAGCGCTTAAATATTATATAGATTATTTTTGTATAATAAAATCAGATCTCTCTCTCTCTCTCTCCCTCTCTCTCTTTCTCTCTCTCCCTCTCTCTCTTTCTCTCTCTCTCTTATTACTAAATTTATTTTGAAGTAATTTATAGGTAATCTCGTTTAAGTCAAGTCCAATCCCATCTTGCTATGATTCTCCCTCTTGACATTCTTGGTCGACCTTCTTTCTGTTCACACTTGAGCAGCCATAGTCAGCAGAGGATTGCAACATCGAGGAGTGGATCAATGTTGCAATCAGCGTTTTCCACTTAGTACAAATACCAGCTCATATGCGAAATATTTGGCTATCATTGAAGGGCTCTCGGATGTGGAGTGGCAAGGAGACCGCAGTCTACTTTCGTTTATTTGTTTGGCAAACAAAAATATTTTAATATTTCTGATTGCAGAGCGAAACCCGAATCATGTCAAAAGGTAGCCAAGGTAAGGCGAATGAATGTCTGCCGGCTTCTTAACCCCCATTTCCCGTTAGTCATGCGAGCATATTTTTTGCTTGTTAGCGTTTTGTTGCTCGGGGCTCATTCTTATTTTTGGCTACTTAAAAGCTAACATTTGGCTTTGTTGCAGCTGCAAGTACTTATTAAGCCATAAGCCGCTTTTCAGGGACAGACAGACAGACAAACGGACGGACAGACAGAAGTAACTGCAGTTCGCAGTGCTTTTTTAACTGGGTCTAGAGCCGAACAGCAGCATATTCTATATATGCCATTGTTGGCTGCTGGCCGCCCCCACCCCGCCCACAAGTGGCCCCCTTTTTTTACAAGTTTCCGAATAGCTGTTAACTGCTGCTGTAAAAACTTTTGCCCGCCAGCCTTGCCAGGCGTTCGGCTTTCGTTTGTTACACAAAACTGCTTTAAGCCAATGTTTTGCGTCGCTGCCAATTGTGCCCGGCATTTCAAACTTTCAAAAGCAAACAAGTGCCGCCCCATCCCCCACCCTCCCCTGCTCACTTGTCATAAGAGCGGGCGTGGCAAGTGCTGGGCGTAAGCAAAGTGTCCGCGCGTGATGCGCCTGTGTCGCATTCGCTTGTAAAAATAACAGCTAATAAAAGCGTTGCACTTGCTGCCGTGAAAGCGACTCGGAAGATACTCTCCGAGAAGAGCGAACAGCCGCATCCCAGTGACTCTTAAACTTCTGCGTACTTGTGTGAGTGTCAAACTGTTATTGGAAATTGTGACTTGGTGCGATTTGTGAGTGATTTACATGACTTTAGACTTGATAATACGGGTATTTGGAATAGGCTCTCAACTACTGTGAGCAGAAAAAGGCTGATTAAAGTCTGAGATAATAGATTTGATAGACTACTATATATTGGCAATGATTGTCAAACTGTGAGTAAGAAATTTGAATGCATCTCATGACTTTAGGCTTAGTGATTCTTAAAATGGGTTCTACTCGACTCTCTAATACTATATCTAGGCTGGGACTGTCAAACTGCAATAGCGTGACATGCCAAGGATCTGTGACGTTAAGGACGACTCGATTTAATTTAATAGATTTGTGAACTGAGCTGAATAGAACTGAACTAAATAGAGCCTTGATTCATCTCATCATATGAGAACCATAAATCAAATTGCTCACACTCCTCAATCCGGAGCTATTGAAACGAGCAGCTGCAACGCTGATCATTATCCATCAACTAATATACCCCTTTTGACAGTTGCAGTGCATAGCGTGTTAGGAGATAAGTGCAACAGCTGCGATGCAACAAGTGAAACGCATCGAATGCCAAGTTGTCTGCGCACTTCAAAAATGCCAATGCCACATAAATAGCAACAACAACAACAGCAACAACAGCAACAATAATCGAAGCAGCAACACCAGCAGCAACATTAGCAACATGTTTGCAATTTTGTTGCCTCTCGCATGCTGCATGCGGCGCCCCTGCACGCATACGACACACACGCAAGCTGAGCTGAGGCTCCCCCACAGCCACGCCCCCACTCAACCCAATTGTCGGTGATTTACGCACACTGACAGCAAAGTCGAGCGCACAACATCATTTGCAGCTCATTAATCAGGTCTGTGTGGTTGCTGCTGCTGCTGCTGCTGCTGCTGCTGCTGCGGGGCCTACGAAGCAGTCGACCTGAAATTGTGGCAGGCTTCTTTCTGGCTGCCACATCGTGCGGCATAATCGGCTTTTCTTCATATTTAACGAGAAAATAAACACATATATAAATATATGTGATATATATACATACACATATATAATTCATACATGTATTTATATATTTATACAGAAATTTTGCAAATATTTGCGCAACGTAACAAAAACTGATTGAGACGCCTCATGCACAGTCGTTGCTGATATGCAGCTGATGACTGAGAGGGAGAGAGAGAGGGAGTATGGGAAAAGGGGTAGAGTAAATGAGGCATTTGCCTGATATAATACCACAGCCAGTACAGACATACATACATATAATAAAATATGTACTCGCTGTAAATACTTCAATAAACATGTGGTATTATGGCCCATGCCTAAGCCTCCTGACGGAGTCTGCGTCAATCAGAGCAGCAATAAAACTTGATTTATTTTCGTAGAGTAAAAAAGCTGATGCCAAAACCTATGATAGATTAGAGCATGTGGGGCCTAATTGAATCAGTGATGCATACATTGCCAGGAATCAATTTTTCATCGATAGCATGAGAGGCAATGTGCATATCGAATCATTTTCCCATAACAAAAAATGTTTATTCATTTTTTAATATATGTATACACAGATTTACAGAAACTGTGGGTTTTGAAAGCATTGGCTGAGGTTTGTTCTAGCATTAATGCGGGGTACCCAGACGTCTAGCGTAGGCTTTGATTGTGAATCTAGCAGCTGGAGATATGATAAATGCCTTAAAGGACTCGATGAGAGAGATTCTAGAAGAGGAGAGAGAGAGAGAGAGAGAGAGAAATTAGCAGTGAAAGCGAAAGCAGGTGAAATTAGACAGAGAGTAAGATGTTTCTCTAAATATGTATATAACTAAATCTGCACTTCATGCTTAGAAGACATATTTCATACTATAATATATAGATTGAGCTAAATCCTTTTTTGATGCCAAGAAAATACCTTTCTGACTCCACAAGAAATAAAATATCTAAACATCTCTCACGCAGAGAAAACTGCTTTATTTTGTAATAGAACAAGGAACTTACACAATTCCGAACGAGCCTAGCAAACATGAAAGGATTGCTTGCAATACCAGAAAGAGTTCTTTGAAGAGCGCATATCCAACTTCCTTCCTTGAAATCGCTGATATATATTGCTGATTCAGCACATGACTCAGCTAATAAAGCTAAGTAGATCGTTTAATTTAACTGTATTCTCAGCCTCTTTCGTTTATATAGCTCTTTGGCTCTTTTTCTCAAGTAAAGCCAAAAGTGTTGATACTTTTGCCTGCTCAAGTGTTACAGCAGCTTCAAGGTGCCGTTATTCTCGCTTTATAGGCACCTCTGCTCGGCCACCTTATCTGGCAATTGTCTTTTATATCTGATTCGCTGATTTAATAAACCATCTGGTTTTGCATTCTCATCCGCGCCCAAAAAAAACACTTGTCAGAAAGGGGCGCAACAATATGCAGCTGGAAGCAGAAGCAGCAGCAGGAGCAGCATAAGAAGAAGAAGAAAATACTGAATATTCATTTACCTTAA